AAAAGCAGGCCTTTTAATGATCAATTCTCTTTTTTAGCTATCCAAAGTATAACTGCCTAAAAACAGCATACATCGATTTCAAACTAAAAGTTCATAATTGAATGATTTGTTTACTATTTCATACAGCATTATATACTGAGTATCGCCTGAAATTTTTAGGTCGATGCCTCAAACACAAGAGTCAGAATATTCATAATACTGAGAGTGTGCAGTCTTAACTGTCGCTGTTATGTGATATGGTGACTGGAATAGCGTTGACGGTCGCCAGAACACTCCTAATGCATATCGATGCCAAAGACAGATGACATCGTTGTCATCACACACATGGGGAATTCCATATGATTCTTCCCAAGTTGTCTTTCCGGGAATTGAAACAAATTGATGCCTAAGTCTTTGCCATGCTGCTGGACATTTGCATCAAGAGCCAATAAATGGCACTAATTGTGCAGAAATATCGCCTCTTTTGCCTCTAAACATAGCACATTTTCCTCTACTATGAAAAAATACACTTCAAGAAGTTCGTGGATGGCGCCATGCAGAATATTTCTGGAAACGAAAATCATTGACTGCTATTTTTTCCTCACAGCAGTGCGGATAAGCTTAATACCTACCAAAAAAAAGGTCGACAATTCATATCATGAGTATTCGTATCTCTCTGAAACAGTAAATTGAATCGCCACCAGTCAATAATGTAAGTTGTGTGTTTGTGAGCATGCGTTCGATGTATATAATAGCACTGTTAATTCCTCTTTGCTTCGATCTCCCTATTATATTCTGCAAAAGAGTAAAAGAACATGTACTCTCCCTTAGAAACAATAACCACCAGAGTTTATGTTCTCCTCTTTCAAGAAGGCATACCATCGCTCACATATAGTCTCATTCTAACGAAGTTTCTTTTCTTCCCAGACAGCGATATATTGAAAGAAAATAGAAGCGAAGATATTCGAGAAAAAGTAAAGAGGGCAGTATGTGTTATGCCAAAAAGGATAGATCATTATATGCAGCAAAAGAAAGAAGGAATAAAATGGTATAGTTAAATGTGTGCCATAGTTGATGACCATGACAGACACAAATTGCATACAAGAAATTATGACTAAGTAGCCAACACGCAGAAGTGATATGTTAATCAATATTGTAGTGAGGTTTCCATAGGATGCGTGTAATTATGTGACCATGCGATTTAACTAACAGCACATGTATCATTTCCTATGTACGGAATTTCATCGATATTCGTTTGAAATTAGACAATCAGTCGAAGAATATATTGCCTTCCAGTAGAAAATATTATGTTTTTAATTCCAAAACGCACGAAAAAGTTAGCTAAGAAAAATGAACGAACTATTATCAGAAAAGAAACTCATTAGTATTTTGAATATTTTAGCTCTTGTGTTTGCGGCATCGACCTAGAAGTTTCAGACGATACTCAGTATATAATGCTGTATGAAATAGTAAACAAATCATTCAATTATGAACTTTTAGTTTGAAATCGATGTATGCTGTTTTTAGGCAGTTATACTTTGGATAGCTAAAAAAGAGAATTGATCATTAAAAGGCCTGCTTTTGATTCGGGAATAAGAAGCTGATTGTTGCAGATAATAGAGCTTGATGAGTTCTATTTATGGTAAAAATTTCAGAGCACTCCATTGTTGTGGCATCGAACATAGTTGATCGACATTTTGACCACTTTCGTAACAAAAATTGAGAAAAACTTATAGATACACCTGCTTTTGTATAAGACCGTACTATTCATGTGTTTGATAACAACTTCTGAATTTTTGTCCTCGATAACGCAATTAATGAATAACTATGACCGAAAAAACCAAGAGTTGAAATTCTTTCAATTCGAAATAACAAAAGTCGATGTATTGAAAATGATTATATATTTTTTCAAAAAACCAGTAAAAAAGTTAGGATCAGAAAAACGCTCTATATTTTGAGGGTTTCTCTTAAGAAATACATTCAATTCAGCTGAAACTTTCAAAAATTACATAACTCATTACCCTCTACAACACAACAAAAAAATCAAAGAATTCTAAGATATCACTCCATCGTCGATGTCTGAGTCTCTCAGAAACTCACTCTTAAATATTAAATATTAAATGTAGATGAAATTGGTATCATCGATTTGAGGTTTTAAATGCTAGATTAGGTCTCTATGTGCATTAAAAGAAATATAAAAAACATAAGCAATCACAACAAAAAGTTTATTAAAAGTTATTAAGTATTAAAATTAAAGTAAAAACTGATATTATATGAATTCAAATTTCTCATGTTAAATGATCCTTGGTTCCGTTTTGTTAGGAAAATATTAAAAACTTAATTAGTATTATTCATAATTATTATTAGATCGAAAAATGATCTCGGATCCGGGTTCGTCCATCGAAAATAATTGTTGGTTACCGTATTCAACAACTAATAAAAGCTATTCCTATAGATCTAGTCTATGCTATTTTCTGAAATTTTAATTCATCACATGTAATAGATCACAAATGTTCGATCGAAATAAGATCATGACTTTTGCCCTGCCATATTAATACTTTAACACCATATTCGTGTAATTTTTTTTGAGTTTTCTTAGACATAGGGAATCGGGTATTGTCATGTTGATACAGATAGTTATCTTCCATTTGGTATAGCTTCATTATCGGAATCAAATAGTTGTCTAAAATATCACCATAAACACCACTATTGATATTTTCATTGTAAATGTCAGGTATCGTTTCATGCTAATGAAAGTACCTTCATTAAAAGAAAAAAGGTAAGTTGGTTGAATCAGTATGATGGAATACTTTGAAAGTTTTATTTGTAGGAGCTCATCAAAATGCATCAGATGGCGTTTTCAGAAACTTGGCATGTTGAAGTTTTGTCTGAAAAAGTTTTTGAATTAGATCAAAGACACCTAAAATTCCTTATCGTTGTAACTGCGACAATATGAAACTTTTTCTGAAATGTTGGATTGTTATATTTCAGGTGAAGCTACCTCCAAAGTGTTTCATCACAATGAGTCAACCAACTTATCTTTTTTTTAATGAAGGTACTTTTATTGGCATGAAAAGGTAGCTCATGATTGAGAGTACGTATGGTAAAAAAAATCTTCTGTAGCTCTTATTGTTTTTTTAGAAAATGAAACTTTACTAAAAAGTATTACAATAGAAGATACGTTCAATTTAACACAGCAGTTATCCTTGCAACGTCGATATCTGCTGAATGGCTCATCTGTTTGAACTGATCTGTCTACTGTAGAAATATCAGTCAAATCAGTGAAGTCAATTGAGCAACCTTGTGCCGGAGGTGGTCTTCGCTTAGCTACAATGAATTCTAAGCAGAAGTTTTCTCGATTCGCATTGATCCAGAATGGTTCAACGTGATTCAGATTTGTTCAGAATAGGTCAGAGCGTATTTTTCTAATACCCATAAGTAGTAGTATCATGAGAAGTATCTCAGGATTCGTTAGTCATAAGCTGATTTGCAGAGTCACTCTTCTTAATAATTTTTTCGGGAGAACATTGTAGTCAACGTTATAGTGACCGTATGCAAATGCTTGCTGAGAACCCATGTTGTGAATACCGGATCATTTTTTCCGGTAAACCGCGGTATTTGTCTGTCCTCCGGTAAATTACACTAATATGGGAGCCGGTAACCGGACCGGTAAACCGGCGGTTTTTTCCGCATGTTTACCACACGTAAAAGTAAAAAAAAAAGGGATGTCTAAAATAGCTTAATTGGTGATTTGGAACACTTTTTTTGTCAAAGATTATAGACGAATCGGTTAACCGGTGTTTTTTAGCGGTAACCGCGGTATTAATCAAAACCGGCGGTTTAACGCGGTAAATTTTCACTGATGGGAGCCGGTAACCGGTTCGGTAAAACCGCGGTTAACCGCCGATTTTCTTGCGGTTTTGTATTACATGGGAAGATACTGTTTCATTATGAAGGTTTAATCTCTACCATTGGCATTCTGTGATTTCTGATAAATATATGTCAGAAGATTCTTTTTTCTTAATTTTTTGAATATTAAAAGTTTCAAGCATCATCGAATGATCAATATATTTTTTCTATTCAACATAAATTGAATGATATATTACCATGTGACTGTATGAGTTTTAATATACTATGTGACTATTTTAAACGTCATTGTCGTTTGTATAGCAATCATATTTTATATAATAATATTCATTCCGTGTCTAAGAATAATGTATATTTGCTGAGTGAAAATAATATCTTGAGGAAACTGATACACGACAAAAATAGAACAATGTTCAAGATTATCTGTCTGTTTTTTTTCGTCATATCGTTTTTGGATAAACTATTGTTTTTGTGATAGAATACCATCTTATATATATATATTGGTTTTAAAATATATTAAAATCTCAAAAGCATAAAGATTTAAACTATTTATGTTTTTAAAAGATAAATCCTATAACTAATTATGATTTCATAGAAATATGACAAAGCAAATTGCATCATCAAATAAGTGATCCAACTTTTGCATAGCAGTTGATTTTGAATATCAATAGATCACATTATATAGATAACCACTTTAACTAACCAGCATATCACCATTAATAATAAGAAAATTGAATACAGAATACATTTATCAAAAGCATCATTTTTAATATCAGATTGTTGTTGACAAGAAAGCAGACGGCAACATTTCAAAAACCTGATTTCCTACGTCAGAAATTTCTACAAGTTGAATATATATTTTTGTGTCTCGAGAGTGGCGGCTAGAATCTTCAGCAACTATTTTGAGTAATAGCGATGGCGGTCACTCAACCGGTCGATTGACATCTCTAATTGAAACATCTTTGTTTTCGAAAAAAATCTATTCGATATTTATCCGTTTTCAATAAAATAAAAGAAAAAAATTATCGTCGATAGAAAAAGAACAAAAAAACTAAAAATTAATATTTGTTTATCTTTCAGAAGTGCTTCCATCACGAATTGTTGATAATGAATCAAGTATTTTTGTTTGTTCATTCCCTTTTTTTTGTGTTCGATATCGATTGAATATTTTAAACTTTCTTTTATTGATTAATACGTAATTAATTAAACATACAATAAGAACAGTAATAGTAAGAATACCAAAGATTGATCCCAATATAACAGGGAATTTAGATTTTCGCTTTTGCGTGGTTCTTGTTGAGTTTGTTTTATGTTTGTTAATGTTATTTATCAAGACAAATGGTGTGCTATATTAAAAGAATACATATGTTTCTATACAAAAGAAAATAAAATAGCTTGACTGACATTGTAGATGTCATTTGATTGATGTCTGATGAAAGTGTTGGATCGTTTAACGATGTTTCATCTTCATCTTCATCATCTTGATCTGTACCAGATCTGATATTTGTAAGAGAGGGAAAATAAATATTAATGCATCTTTTAAGATAATTTTTTCTTTGAAAAAACTTTTCTTTATTTTCATATATAAAACAAGAAGTTTTATATCTTTGTGTTATATTATGTCATAGATATCTGAAAAATACTCCTCGCAATAATATATTTTTTAATATAGAGAGAAAAAGAAATAATTCTAATGAATTCTCTATTATTTCAAATTTAGACAACGATATTTCAAATACGATTGTAAAATTAAATATTTTTGGAAACTTACGATGCTGTTACTATTACTTCATCGGTAACTGCTGGTATATTCGGCTCAATTTCTGATGTCATGCTTGCTATCGGTAATGCTGTAGTCGTTGATGATGTTGTAGTTGTTGACGACGTTACATTAGGTGTTGCTTTTTTAGCTGCTGCTGATGTTACATTCGCTGGTGGCGTTTTAGTCGTTCCTGACTTTGTAGTTGTTATTTTTATAGGCGCTGCTAATTTTGCACTTGGAGTTGGTTCTTTTGTCGCTGACAATGTAATATCAAAATTACAGTAAATAAGAAATGTATGCAGTAAATACGGAAAAACGAAAAGAGAGAAAATCATTATATGAAAGAAGTGTTTAATATTTATGAATAAATGCGTATGAAAGGCAAAAATTTAATAGTTATCGTGTTACTAAGCTAAGCAAGGAAAATAGGCGCTACCCTTTCATTTTATTAAATACTTCAAATATGATGCTTTATCTGAGTTATAAAACTTGACTTCTCTCAATTAGTTCAAAAATAAAAATCTTTATTAATATTGAATATTCATTTTGAATTGTTGAAAGAACTCATTAGAAATATTCAAATGGTTATTTCGTAGATTTAAATAAAAACAAAATGAAGCTCGATTAATGTCTTTATTGTAGTTACGTAATCGCTATTGTAAAGTCTCATTTCATTCATTGAATTCAAAAATAAGAGTTCTCATCGGATTGAAAACATGTGCATATAATTCAAATGAAATATAATTGAATGATAAAGATGAAAATGATAATCTCAATATCAGCATAGAAATAAATTTCAAGTTTCACAATTGCGTGTAGAATATATAACGGCGGAGAAAAATTTAAATCAGCTGTATTTTGAAGTTTTCTTTTTGGTGGTAATAGCTAGCAAGAATCTGAAAAAACATTTGAGAGACTGAAAAAAGTCTCTATCAAGATTGGTAGATCCAAAGACTCCAGCAAAACTGTTTGGAGGAGAATCTGTGGAAAGCCAAGCCCTCAAAAATCAGCTCTGTGACTTGCATTGAAAGCTTTGGGGAATTTTTTTATTTGATAAAACAAATGACTATGAGCAAGACGAAACGTTTTCAATCACACCGTGACCTTCCTTCATCGAACTGCATCCTATTTAAAGAAGGCCCGAGAAGTATTTTTCTCTTCTTTTGTTGAAAATTTTAATGTTTTCACAATGTTGGATACTTTGGAACCTCCTGTAAATTAAATACAATTCGATGAAGGAAGGTCACGGAGAGACTGGAAACGTCTTGTCTTGCTCATAGTCATTTGCTTGATCAAATAAAATCTTTTCTTAAAAGCTTCGAAGAAAAGTCAGAAAGCTGATTTTGGAGGACTTATTTTTCCACAGATCTTCATCCAAGTAGCATGCTGAGGTTTTCAGATCCAACAATCTTAATAGAGATTCTTTGCAGTTACTCAAATGTCTTTTCAGATTTTTACTAGCTATTACCGTTGAGAAGAAAGCTTAAAAGTACAGTTGCTCTAAGCTTTTGACCACTGCCATACATTACTCTGAATAATTATTGGCTCAGAAGGGAAAGAAAACATTTTACTTTCAGTCGGAGTCATGCATATGAATGAAAACTCACTAGGATATGAAACATTCTAATTTCACATACTGCAGAATGTAAAACAATCGTACCTTATTTCTTTCATTAATTTTGATCATCTAACATTTTTGAATGCATCTACAAAATATCTGACTTTCCAAATATGTAATAGATTATTTCATTTAGAAACAAATAATCGTTTAAACTTAATTTGATTCAAATCAACTTTTTTCACACGAACAATATCTGTAAAGTATTGACATTTTTCGTAGATGAAGAAGACTATTTGACAAAAACAAGTTGATGTCTCTAGAGAATGTTAAATAGATACTATAATGCAAATTTTCGTTTATATTGGTGCAAAAAAACGATCTAATCTTCGATCACGTTTTAAAATGGACTATTGAATGGTTCTTTCATGTGTTGTGATGAAAAGTGAATATCATACAATGAAACCAACGGGAGAACAATTGATTCTGTTGACTTTTTATCAACCTTATACTAAAAGACATCGCTGATGCAAAAAAAATGTCTGACTTTCAACGTTTTCTGTATTGTTTTGATGATTCAAGTTTGTAGGAAGAACCTGTTTGTCTACAGAAGATGACTTGTACATTTAACGGATGAGATCTACTATAATAATTCCAAGAAAAAAGTGATATTTTTGAATACTTTAATTTTTCTTATTTTCTGAATGGTTTTTTGTAAAATAAACAGAAGATCAAAATCGATCAAGTGTTTTCTCATAGCTTTCGAAGCACAAAAATCTAATTCCAGACGCCTCCCTTTTAAATATAAATCGAAAAATTAAGAATGAAATTAAAAGTTTTATCATCATGGTGTCCTAAATCGAAATAAAAATATTTTTTCTTAGAGAGCAGAAGAAAAAATGAAAAAATTTAGTGATTATTCATGTGATATAGTAGATAGCTAATGGAATCGTTGAACCCTCTATTGGTCCTTTTGATTGGCTGCTCCATTTATTTTCGCTAGGTTTTAGTTCTGAAACAATATTAAAACAGCAAAATAGTAAAATAGTAAAAACTTTTTAGACAACTTTCTCATTAGTCAAGTTTATGGCAAAAATTTTGACGGTGGCACGACGAAGCTATGAATTATTCTAAGAACATATATTTGTAGAAGAAAATGTAAATGTTGAAGAATATTTCTGTTAATTCATATTTACAATAGAACTTTTTAAATAGTAAAGTAAAATTTAAAGTTCTTCGAGAATTTACTATGTTTGATTTTCTATTCAAGAAAATTTCGGTCTATGGACTGAGTTTAGCTCATAGAGACCTCTGAATTAGATTTCCAACTTCTCTCGTGTTTTACAATTCATTAGAGAAAATTAAGTTTGATAAGCGCTAAATTCAACCAATAAGCATTAACAATGCAGTAGTCTATCAGTGGTAACTCAAGACTCAGATGACGACACCATTTTGTCAGCCTGCGCACAAGAATATGATAGTTTTTTTTCAAGTATAGCCTTTCTATCTAGTGAATATTTGAAACAGAATTATTGAAAATTCTTAAAAGTGATTTATTTTCTACTTTTGACTTTTGAAATTATGAGAAAATAAAAAACATGGAATGAGTAAAAATGAGGATAGATGATTAGATTCTTTCCAGATATATTACTTATTGCTAATAGAATAGAAACAACAAATGATTAGTTGAGTTTTAAAACCAGTTTTGTTTTTCAATTTATTCGGCGTAAAAAATATTAATGTTGACATTTTATTAGCATATTAATTTTCGAAAAAAGAATCCTTTTTAAATACACAATGTGAAATTGTTTCTTACAATATCCAAAAATAGATCAATGCCTATATGATACGTTGGTTTTTTTGCCATTATTATTAAATATCCTCACATATAAATTCAAGATAATCAAGTTTCATATTGTGAGAAGGTAACAGATAGCTTTATTGAGATTTAATGTATCAAGTGATCTATGGGTGAGCAAAACAAAATACATCATAGTTAATCTCATTATACTTAATAGTTGTTACATTCTTGTTTCCATATTTCTCATCATATTCTTAGAACGAATTGAAAATACCATAAGCTTAAAATAGACTATTTGTAAAATAATCAATCATTCTTTCCTTTAAGCTCTTTATTATGAAACAAAAAGATCTCTATCGAATGAAAAATATACTTTTCGTCGATTGACATCATATCTTTTAAAAATTTTATTGATACAAATGTCTCACAATTAACCATAAAAGAGAAATGAATTAGAAAAAGAAAAGAACATTTATGGTTTACTGTCACTACCACAACAAGTACTACTTTCTTTTTTCGGTTTAGCCGGAGGAAAAGCACCATGCGGTTTATTTAATGTACTTGTTGGTTGTTTGGCAGCAACTTGTCTAGCAACATTCATAAATATTTCCGTTACATTATCACCTCGTTTAGCTGATGTTTCCATAAAAATAAGACCATTCTCTTCAGCATAGTCAGCTACTTCACGTGTATCTACTTGTCGTTTGTTTCCTGTTGCTAGATCTGCTTTATTTCCTGCTAAACCAATAACCATATCACTAGCATTGACTTGACGTAATTCTTTAACCCACATTTTAGCTCGACGAAGAGACTCACTATTTGTTATATCGTATACGACAAGTGCAGCTTGTGCACCACGATAATACATTGGAGCAAGGGAATGATATCTACAATATTCGTTTACTTATAATAATATAACAAAAAAAAAATAGTATAAATCAAATTCACCTTTCTTGACCAGCCGTATCCCATAGCTCGACCTTAAGTGAAGTGTCTGAATCGATTTGTAGTGTATGTGTGAGAAAAGCAGCACCAATAGTACTTTCAGCATGGTCTTGATATTGTCCTTTAGCAAATCGGAGTGCTAGAGAAGATTTTCCAACAGCCGATTCACCCAATAGAACCATTTTAAATTGACCGGGACGACGCATTTTAATATTGTTGAAAACGGTCCGAGATGAAACAACGTAGTAATATTATTGCTTCGTGTTAACTGTTTGTCTCTTTTGCTATCTACCTGACACGCTGCTATGTGACTCATCTACATGCGCCGCTTACTTGTCTTATCTTTTGCGATATGAGAAAAGGAAGATGTTGAAGTAAAATATATGTTTGTTCTATAAGAACTAATCTTTGACCATCGTTTATATAAGTGTTCGTGAAATACTCTTAATTATTTTGAATTAATCGTAAAATATTTGAGAGCATTAAAAATAAGTAATTAAACAATGCCGATAACAATCATGCATTAATAATAAAATGTTTGTCAACAAGAATAAAGTAAAATGTCTGAAATATGACACATATAGTGGATCATAAATAGCACTACGACAAAAAATCGAAATATCTTCGCTTCGGTAAACTCAAATGGGTTGCTTTTTTTGATTAGTAGTAGAAGCTTACAAAGTTTACTTGTCATACAGATAACATAAAAAGATTCTGCTATCAAGTTATATTTTTGGCTTCACTAAAGAAATTTTACTTATTGCCAAGCACGAAAAATACACATGAAATGTTTTATAGATAATTTTCGACTATTATCGAAGAAAATATTAAAAAATAAGTCCAAGCAAACTATATTGATGCGCAAAGGGCAAGTTTTCAAAACTAGTCAGTTTAAAATGCTGAGATCTGTATCTCATTAGTAAAATGAGCAATTATATCTCTTTAGGCACCAACTCCATTACAAAAACCAATGTTTTATGTTTCAAAAAAAATGAGAAATTTTGTAATTGTCGACTTCTTAAGCTAATTAGTTCTGAAAATTTGCTTTATGTGCATGAAGATGGAATCATTCATGAAGTTCGTTTTGATTTATTCTTTATTATTCTCTTAGATAGCGACTGAAAATTATCTATGAAACACTCCATATGTACTTTTTTTTGATAACAGATAAAATTGCTTTCTTGATACCAACACTAATACTTAATAGTATTCTTGACTTATCTTATTCGTATGAAAAAAAGCTTTCAACAAATTCCTATCACGAACCAAAAAAATAAGTTCATTTGATTGAACTGACACAGAGATTTTTCATTTTTTTATGGTTGTGTTATTTATGGCTCATCCTGTATGTATGAGTGAGTTGCCAAACTTTTTAGTACGCATGGCACGCAAACATGGCAATAAACCTAACACGATTTCTGAGTAGAACATTTTATTATACTGTTTGTCTATGTTATATAGCAAAAATTTTTCAACACTTCATTGAATATTAAGCGAGATGCATGATGCAAAGTTCAATTTCCACTTAACGCAATGATTAAATTGGTTTTATTCCATGGAAAGGATCGAGTCATTTTTCAACTCTGTATGGAAAGTTAGTAGTCAAGAACAACTGGCAATACGTTCCAATTTGTTCATCAAACTCTTTTGAGTTAAAGTATACCTGAAAACAATATTTTTGAGTAAATTAAACGGGAAATATATGAAGAGGAAGTGTCACTGAACATTTTGTGGTACGATTTGAATATGTTTCGATGAGTAAAAGTTAGAGGATTGGAATTGTTATCGGTAATATAAATTGTTGAGCTTTATTTAATTTGAAAGTTTTAATGAAATCAAAACAATCGTACATGAATTATAGATCAAACAAGTTTTAAAACATCACTGTACAGAGTGAGCGAATATACTATTTTTTTCGGTGGTATTCTAATCCTTTTTCTCTAATATTGAAATGAGACAGAGTAAATATTTTTATATAAAAAAAATGTTTTCTATTATTGGCTATAGTAGTTTTCTATTGAAGCCTTTCTTTATCTCCTGGAGCAGTGATTTTCTGTTGTTGTATATAAAAAAAGAAAAGTGCTTGTCATCAAATGTTGAGAATAGAAGTACAAGAATGGAAAGATGTATAGACCAATGAATCACATGTTTTGATAGAGTAATATTCAAGTTATAAAATGGTCCATTTACGTTTCTTTTTCTATTTCTTTTTTTCTCAGGCAAATGTCATGTTTACGCATGTTTCGCTTAAAATTATTATTTTTTCTGACTGTAAACTTTATTATTCATGAGCGATACAAGACAGAAACATACAATTTGATGTGAACATGAGAGAGTAACAAGGAGATATAATTAAAAAAAATCTACTTTGAAATCATTCGATAGGAATGAAAGTTATAACGTAGATGCTCTAATACACTACTTATATTTTTAAAAAAAGTCGTACTACTGTCATATATACAAGTAGAATGTATTAGTTGTTTACGTGCAGTGATTATTCTAATATTCTAAAGCAATGAGTGAAAATAGAGAATATTTAAACATAAAAAATAACAAACATATCTGATGTTCGATATAATTTCTAAAATAAAAATGGATATACACTGCAATTAAACTTCTGATTTATATAGAAATTCATTCCTAATTAATAACAATAATCTTATCTATTTAAAGAATTTGTTAATCTAAATATGAACGTTATCAGGTTATAAAAATTCTATGGCATATTTTCAATTCACAGATTCCTAAATAGTTTTTAGACCTTTGATCCTGAGTAGTATTGAAAAGAGCCCAATAAAAGTGTCAGTTTTTGTAAGCATTGACAAAATAAACAAAACATTCTAAATCAAGATAAGACTCATTTTTGCTCGTTTGTAAAAGAGACATTGACGGTTGACTTCATTAGTGGATTTGTCTGAATTTACTTATATTGGTAATTCTCCACTATTTTCAACTTTAAAAGAAATTTTATTCGGTAATTCTAATGAAAAAATTGTACCGTCATAAAAAAGAGCATTAAAAACAATTTATTTACGAACAAAAAATCATTCATAACCTAGTTACATATTATTTTTATATTGTTTTTTTCTCTTTCTCTACATTTTACTCCCATCTTTTGTATTTATAAAAACTTATTCAAGCATATCGTTTTTATTTATTGGTTATTTCATCACTCGAATATTTCCACGTTGTATAGAATGTCTGAAAATACTGATGATAAGGATGTACAGCGTGTTATGGATTATATGAGTGGAGCAAGATATACAGGCGACTATAAAAATGGTAAACGACATGGATTTGGCAAACTTATGTTAAATAATGGATCTTTTTATGAAGGACAATTTGTAGATAATGAAAAACATGGCCTAGGCACTTATAAATGGTCAAATGGTGTTATTTTTGAAGGACGATTTGAACATGATCAACCACATGGAAAAGGAAAATTAGTATTACATAATGGATATTCTTATGAGGGATATTGGCTTAATGGTAAACGTCATGGACGAGGTAAGACTATATGGGAAAATGGAAATATTTATGAAGGTTTTTATGACCAAAATGAAAAACATGGTCATGGTACACATATATGGAAAGAGAAAGGATCAACATATACAGGTAATTGGCAATATAATTTTCCTCATGGTCAGGGACGATATCAATATGGAAACGGTGATGTATATGAAGGTGAATTTAATCAAGGAACAAGGCATGGACACGGAAAATTAACATATGCTAATGGAGATATTTATGAAGGTGAATATGTTGATGATTTAAAACATGGTAATGGAAAATTCTTATGGGCTAATGGTGATTCATATCATGGACAATTTGTTGACGGATTTCCAGATGGTACTGGAGAATATATATGGGCATTAAAAAGTTCAGCTGTTACATCAACATCTCCTGTTGAAGAAAAACCAGTAAAATCTGAAAAGAGAAATTCAAGAAAGAGTACTTCACGACAAGCAAGTGAAAAACGACTTGTACACGCTGGATCATTGCCTCAACGTAGTAAGAGTCATAGTGCTGATTCCGAAACATTTTAATAAACACATTTAAAGTTTTTTAAATATAATCTAATAAATAGAATTTTCTCTAATATAACAATCTAGACATTATAAGGGAAAACATACTGATTCTATCAAAATAGAAATAGAATGTTATTTCACAACGTTTTTATTAATCTATAGTTGGTAACAATGTCATCAGTTGCATCGAGAAAATCATGAGCTACGTTTTAAATGTCTCTGGTAATTTTGTTGTTTTTAGCGAACAAATATCTATATTAATTCATGATATTGTCACGTTTTCTTATTATTTTCTGTTGATTTCAGCCTTGTATTTAATTGATTCGCTCACCAATTGGTATTGCTGACAACATCGGTTCTTATTATTACCTCTCTTTTCTCATTTCTATCTGTCGAATGTTACGAGCAGTCTTATAATCTTTGAACTTGACAAAATAATAAAAATCTATAAGAGAATCAACATTAGACGCCTCTTTGTTTTTCTCTCTTTATATTATTCTAATGTAAAATATTAAAATAAATCTGTATTTTTCTATATGTCGATAAAAATTCCTTGGGTGTACTCTGGTGTCGTTAAATATTAGTATCATTTTCTATTTTTTCTATTTGTTAAAAAATGAATGATTTTGAAATAACGGTTTCCTATATATTTATTACTTCTATCTATGCGAATATCAATGTTACAGATCAAAGTTTTTAAATGCAACAAATTCAACAAATACACATGAATATAAAATCGGAAGTAATAATGAAATAGATCAGTGAAAACAATTCTTATTTTATTTGAATTTTAGTTAATAGTGAAGTCTTCGGGAACGATTTAACAATAGTTTCTGATGCTATAACCATGGACATTACAATAATGGAAACTGTTGACAATAATACTAATTCTAGTGATATGATCGACACGGTACCACCAAGCAGTTCTTTGCGAATACTTTTGATGGGTAATATTTTCTTTTTATATCTAGAAAGAAAATAATACATGTTTTTGATTAGGTGATCCACTGCCAATTCGTTCAGCACAATTCGGTATTGACGTGGGTATAATGTTGTTTGGAATAATATTCATTGGCGAAATAATATATTTTAAATATTTCTCTCATGGTCTACCAATTGATATTATAGTATAAATAGTTTCATAGCCACATCTATCGGCCTTGAGAATATTTGCTTTATACGCATTGACAAGCAGAGAGCGCAAATAATGTGCTATTATATTGTAGCCAACGAAAAATACTTTGACACTGCTAAGAATAAGAAAACAAGTCTTTTTTTTTCTTTTTTCTTCTTTCTTTTTTCTTCTGTTTGTACTTACCAAAAGGAATATTCAGAACCTACTATATATATATATGTATCCGGAAAACGATAGACAATAAAAAAAAGAGGAACAATCTAAAATAATGAGTTTTGATTGGACTACTCTTCCTGATATTGTATGGTATTCAATCTGTGAATATTTACCAAAAATAACTGATATTACTCATTTATCAAGTACAAATCATAATTTACATAATATTCTTAAAGAAGATTCTTTTTGGAGACATTTAATTCGCATACGTTATGGCTCAGTATTATTAAAACGTTACTGTGATGAAATATTTTCAAATAAAAATAGTTGTGATAATTTATGTTTATCAAATAAATATTTAATTGAATTTGGCAAACAGTATTCACAATTACCACCAACAATTTTACGTAATGGTTGGAATCTTATTGTAACTGGTGCACAAAATGGAAACATACAAGGGTTTGCAGCTGCTAAACGAGCAAAATTTTATATACCGAAATTATCTTCAAAATTAAAAATGGCTATAGATGAAAAGATATTTCGTAATTTAATTCCTCGTCATAGTAAAACAATTTTATCAAAACTTATTTATTATTATTTATCAAAAAGAATACGTTTATCATTTGCATTTGGATCATTTGTTTGTTTTGATATAACAAGAATTACTGATATACATCATCCAAATAGAATTAGTGATGCAACAAGTGATTTTAGTTCTGTAGCAGTACTTGATTCAAAATGGTTAGCAGCAATACGTGGAGAATTTCATTCAATTATACCCGGTCGATATGCAATTATTTGCCGAATGAAATTAAATTTATTACGTTATGAACAACCGAGTGATGAAGATCAATTTACAGGTGAATTTACATGTATACCAGAATTTGGTGTAATGAGTTCATATGAATGGAATCAAGATTGGTTCGATTTACATTATGTTATTAATAATAGTGCAAATGATAATAATGAACAAAATTCTCAATGGTTCGAAGAAACCATGGGAATTATTACTGTTTATGAATTATCAAAGGTTTATTTTGGTTTAAGAATATGGCAAATACCATATAGAAAATATACTGTTATGTGTGATTATATTGAATTAAAAATAATTGAATGAGTTTTTTTTTCTTGAATTTTGTATTTTAAAATTGATCTTAAAGATCGAATGATAAACTAGCATGTACAATAAACAAGCTATTCATGAAATAATATTGAAAATTTAAATTATCATAACTAAAATAACTATAATTTCTTTCTACTAATGTCATATGTAAATTTGACTTGTCTACTCGTACTATTATTTATGAGAGAAAATAAATAGTTGTTATTAATAACTTGTGCATATTGCTATAGATTAACTTAGATACTTGATCTGTTGAAAAAATTATTCTTTCTAATGTCCACGCTAGAAATTAAATAGAGTTAGGTGTAATCTCAATAACTCGACAACAATAATAGCTAGTAACCTACGATTTTCATCAATCGAAGGAGAAGAATTCCAGATGTCCTTTTGTTTGATACTTTATAAGACAAAATTATATTGAAACTCATTGTCTTTGCAAACAATTCAAAAACTTGCATGAAAGTCGTGTTTTATTTCCAGGAAATTCTGATAAAGCAACCTAGCAGAATTCAATGGAATTTGACCTAATATATACACAATATTGTTTGCTTAATATTGAGATGTGAGAAAGGTAATCACCTAAATCGTGTCTTGTGCTACACATATGAAGTGCATATCAGTATCGAAATTACATCGAAACGGAACAGAATTTTCATGCATTTTTTGAATGTTCTACGAAGATGATGGACTTTCAAATATTTTTGTCTTGTATATTATTACATAAAAAGACGTTCGAAGTTTCCTTCTTTGAACTGGTGAGAATTGTAGATCAGTAGCTGTTGCCGTTATTGAGTTATTGAGCTTACAACCAGCTCTCTTTGATTTCGGTGTGGATATTAGATGATAGATTTTTCGTTTGAAAAAATATTGACGGATTTAATCTTACTGTCAATATAGCTGATAATGACTTGCTTGATGGGAATAAGTTTCTCTTGCGTACACATCTGTTATCGTCTCTATTTTATAATATGAGAAGCAAATAATAGAAATCTTTCTGTTCTTAAAAACATTGTTCTGGCAAAATAATATTGACCTCAATAGTGATCAAAATGATAATCATCTGTGAGTATTTATATTTGAATTAAGTAGTTTTATATTTTATTACTATTGCTAAAGAAAATCTAAATATTCTGATTTTTATTGAAACATGATCTAAAAGAAGTATTGAGGTATATCGAGTACAAATTTGTTGTCCTCTCTCCGCTTCATCACAAACTATGATAGATGTTGTTGATATACGATCAAGGATCATATATCAATAACGTTTCATTATAACATATGAGCTACTTCCTAATTGCATTTTTGGAGCATTAAATAAAAGGGTATTGAAGAAATATGTCCCAAAGTAGATAGAATAAAGCGATCTTCCGTTGGTTAGCAACAGCAGCTACATCCTACTTTGTATTTTAATCCTGTCGGGAGATCGCTAACAACTTTTTTCCATAACTTTGATTTTAGTACTTACACTGGCATGGATGACTATTGTGTATGAACCATCACAAGCTGATATGAACATTTTGCCTTTGACTATGAATCCTAGTGAATCCTACATCATTTCACAACCGGACGACAATGAATCTCTATTCCAATTAGTAGGTCATGATTATACACTGGATGGTGTGTTGCAATGTAATAGGCTCTGTTTTTTTAAATAATGGAAACTCTATAGTGAATTTAGAATATTAATAAAGTGTCTAAATATATTGTAGGTTCATTATTCCGTTCTGATAGTGATGACTTCAATCAATTAATTTTAAATGATCATCTGGACCAAAAAGAGAATTCCGCCAGTGAATGGACTCACTTATTGATTGCTGGACCACTGGTGATCAATTATGTGAATAGTCTACTTGTATATGCCAGTAAACGTGACTTTCCATTTATTCGTCCATCAAACATAAATATTCTACACATACAAGATATTAACTCATTTCGAGAAACAATTAGTCAAATATCAGATGTTGCTTATTCAACTCTTCTTAATATACACATTGCAATGCTTCGTGTTCAATTCAACGTTCAACATTTGTCAAGTTATATCAGAACAGCTGTCGAATTACTCATTTCAAATTCATCAACGTTTACTGAATTTATGCTTCCAAAAATCTTAGCTGATATTAATCGAATATCCAATGAAAGTGTTACATATACTCGAACAACAGTTGATAAACTATCTTATTTACCTGATCTGCTTTCAGAGGTTTTGGAAATAAGCGCAGACACTTATTCTACTCATATGAACAGCTCCCTCCAAAAACAATTGCATGCCATCAAATCAACATAGAATAGTGAAGACCGTGACAGAGATGTTATTTTTAATCAAGAATCATATGAAACTGATCGACTATTTGTAAAAAAATACACCAAAAGAATATCGAATTCTTCAGACGGCCTTACCAATTAATCGCATTTTGACCGAAAAAGCTATTTTTCTATCTACACCTGAATATACCTCGAAATTATTTGAGGTAAATCAAACAATACTGAATGCCACTCCTACTGCAGCTGGAACAACAAAACATACACTTCCTCGAAAGCGAAACACTTTAAAGTAAGGAGAAGAACTTGGAAGCGTAATACTAAAATCATTCAGTAAATGACTCGGACCAAACAACGACGTATTTCACAAAGTGTTACTGCTGTTCTTTCTAGAAAGGGTGTTCAAGAAAAGAAACTATTCGCTTATTATTCGATTTTAATATCAATTATTGACAGAGTTATAATGAATTGACAATCACTGGAACTTAGAATAAAGTATTTGTCAACATTCTTCTCAACTCTCCTGTATTAATCAATAATATTAAAAGCCAATGGAGTAGATTAATACTGTTCTTTAATATGTTTATGTTACAAGTTGAATACTTGCAAAATGTAAGAAAAAGCAAGAATTCGTACTTTCATCTAAGTTTCGAATTTCTATTCAAAATTGACAAATTTCGTTCATACTATTCTTCTTTTTTCTCTAGAGTTTAATTCAAAATTTTCTTAATATCATCAAAGACTCAAACAGTGATAATTTTCACTTCGATTTATTGGATCGAGAACTTATCCTTATCCTTCTCATTGAAGTAGGTAAAGACATAGAACAAGAAGCTGATTTACTCTATACAATGTTCACGGCTTACAGTGATACTTCTTCGAAATATATAGTCAATCAGATAAATAGTATTAATTTACTTATTTTACAAACAAATGATAAACAATCATCATATTTGAGTGAACTTTCTTTCAATACAACTTTGATGTCAGCACGAGTCGATCAACTAGCTCAAGACCAACAAAACCAGTATATTATACGGAGGGAGAATCGTCATGCAGAATATGAACAACTTTTAGCCCAAATTGATTAAAACAAAAGTTCATAGTTAATATTCGTTCGCATTCATAAAGTGATTGATAATTGAAAAATTTGGATGAATGCTATTTTTTTTAATAAATAAGAGTACATTGCTAATGTCTTTTATTCTTAAAGTTAGCATGCATTATTATTGAAGCGAATCAAAAACTTGTGTCAGCATATTTACTTTGGGACTGAAATGTGGAACTCACATGTGTTCTTTAGCCTGTTTATACTGCAGCAAAATGCTTAGAGTGAGAAACCTCTAACAGACTTTAGTTGTTTTCCAAGGATAATCGATTATCAGAGAAACGATCTGTTTTACTTAGTGCTGCATTTCGATCCGATTTTTTTTCTTGGCGTTCTAGTTTTTGTTTGTCTTATTGTTGCTAATTTACTTGTAATTTCTTTTTTTGTTAATTTACTCTTGTCATTATTATTCTGATCATTAATTTAAGTGGCAAAATAGCCTCTTGTACATCGATTACATCTGCAGTAGATCTCAATACACACACGATTATGTATGTTGATAAGCTCAGAAATACTGATATTAGTTATCCACCCAAGTTATAACTTCATCAGTTCACTTTTTTAATGTTGATCTTATCACCATTGTGGCAAATCATTTCATCCGTCCCCATCATCATTGACTTCTTGAATATAATTTTTATCTGCGCAAAGCTCCAAAACTACATAATTTAAAACGTATTCTAACGGTGCTTATCTCAACGAAGGCTGTGCAATATCGTAGACTTTTCTAGAGTAGTCTAACTTTTGTTGTTAATACCATAAAGCACTTGAACAAAAGAAGTCGGTGCTAATTGTCCTTAATTGTTATGGAAACATCTTAAATGATCTTTGATCCCGTTTGCAATAAACGTGACGGATGGGGCAAGAAGTCGTAAAATCTTCACTTAAAACTTACGACCACGCCTTTCCTTTGAAAAAAAATGTATGTGAGCTCCATAAAATAATTTATCTTGAAACTTTCTTTGATATTTACTTCATAGGCAACTGTGCTATTATGTCGTATTCTTTTTTTATAAATTCGAAAGCATTTTAAAATCTTTCAAAAAATAAGATCAACAGTTATCTATCGACTACTTCTGATTAACATTGAACGAATTTCAATACCCATTATCCGATACAATCGTTTTTTAAATAATTTTATTTTCGAAGGTGACGCTACAATGACTTTATTTTCTATTGTTTAAAATGATAAATTTTGATTACAAATATCTGTAGACATTTGAATCCATGTTTATTAATTGTAATATTGACAATACAAACTTACTGCACTTTTTGTCTTCAACAAATTTTACATTTCTTTGTAGTTGTTTGTAATCGATTGGCAAAGAACAGCGTTGATAAGTAACTGGTATTCTCATCAATCCAACTATGCACATTTTTCGCTGAAATTCTGTTGTAATCAGAAATTAGAGGTTTTTATCGAATAAGAACGCATTCAAAGGATAGAGTCATGATGAGAATATGATTGATGAGTGCGTGATTAGTGGGAATAACTCTGTTGCTTATGCACCTGTAGTTGTTCTTATCTTATTGTATTAACGACTCAGTATATAAGGGGTTATTAAAAAAAACATTTTTCGTTAGGTTATACCTCTTGCAAAAATAATATTGCCGGAGTTAATGGTGCAATGATTGTAAAATGTAAGTATTTATGATTGAACATAAGCTTATTTTGCATATGAACTAATGGGATTGGTCTAAAATTCATCAATTGTTTACATAACTTCGTTTTCAAGGAAAACCACATTTTGCTTGCAGTATATGTATTGTTATGTTTGGTATTTAATAACTGATGTGTATGCCACTTTAATCGCTCACTCAGTCTTCTTACCTTTGAATAGATCATTGAATCCATTCAGTGATCCTTTCATTCAACAAGTAGTTAATAAGGACCATGATGAACTCTATGTTATTCCACAAATGGATGACAATGAATTTTTTGTTGCAATTACTATGCAATGACGATTCATTAGGTGGTGAGTTGCACAGAAAGATTCTTCGTTTCAGACAAATATTTTTCTTTTGTATCTAAAAAACTCAAGATTCTATGAAGAAATCTAGATAAAAGATTCATTTCAAAAATTTTTTATAGGTTCATCAAGTCGTTCTGGTGATAACGATCCGTATGAATCAATTTTTGATGATAAATTCGATGAGCAACTCATGCTACAAGATAATAATATCGATAATGAATGGGTTCATTTCATGACTGCTGAATCACTCTCAGTTAACTATGTAGGTAATCTTCTTGTCCTTACCAGTAAGCATGATTTTCCACTGACTCGTTCACCGCATTTTGTTTTTTTTTAATACATTAAAGATATACAGGGTGTCTCATAATTATAAGACCCCCTACTAAATTTCCACAAAAATAAAGATTTCCTTAACTAAAGAGGGTTTCATTTCCAATCTAACGTCATACCTAAAGACATCTAGCACTACTCTATCATATACCATATTAGTTTCAATTTAGTCAATTACCATTAATGAATAAATTTTAATAATTTCAAATCAATGCGTCTCATAATTATAAGACCCCCCTCCCCCAATGATATAAAAATATTTAACTAATTCAAACTCTATCAACTCAAATGATCCTTTTTAGGATCCATTCGAAAGAGGAGACATGCAGCTATATGCTATAAAAAAATTAGATTGAACAAGACTACTTTAAGTTCTCTACGATTCAACAAAGTAAATGGTGGAAAATTTAAATCTCAAAAAATCAGTATGCACTTCGAGAAAAATACGTTTTCTCTTCTTTAGTGTAAGATAATCGAATTTGGAGGATACNATTGAAACCAATATGGTATATGATAGAGTACTACTAGATGTCTATAGGTGTGACATAAGATTAGAAATGAAACTTTCTTTAGTTGAATTAATCTTTACTTTTATGGAAATTTAGTGGGGGGTCTTATAATTATGAGACACCCTGTAGGTTCATATCGAGCTACACTTGTTACACTATTTCAGTAATGTAAAAGTCATTAAGTCGTTATGACTTTTCAACTATTCGAATATTCAACTTTTAAAATCCATAAATAAAGTTTTTAACTACTTTTTTTGCGGTACTAAACAGGACACTATGGATAGTTTGCGTGTCCTTTCGCGCGTGCTCCTCTTCTGTCGCATCCACGTCTATTTCGGTGCAAAAAGATGAAATCCACATTTTGCAAATTTCCAGTCCATGTTCTATCACTCAGCTATCTGCCTACCTGAATCATATTCAGTTGACCATCTGACTGATGCTCAGGGATCTATAGGACACTCCAGGAAGACATCCAGAGGGCTCGTTGAGATTCACTTGAAAACAATAGTTGAAAACTTAAAAATTCGAATTATAAAACTTAATCATTGAATTATTGAATACTCGAGTATTCGATTAGTTGATACAATTCTTCGAGTTTTTTACATCTATGTATACTACAGAGTATGGTAACCCTGTACATCTCTAGGCTACAACTAATCATAATTATAGCGAAGATATTGGACTAACGGAAGTGTTTCCAAGCAGTATCTTATACCGCAAGATAGCTAAAAAGTGAGTTATTCTTCTTTTCTTCTTCGTGTTGAGTTAGTTTAATGATTTATTGTTCATCACATCTTTTTCGTTTAAGGATATTCAATTTATGATAAATTTAATCATGTTCAGTATAATATAATCTGAGTTTCATATTTCGAACCTTTAATCATAAGTGAAGCTTTATTTTTCAGCGATATTTTACTTATTGTTATATTCCTTTTAGACAAGTTATGAATTTTGATAACAGTAGAAATGTAGTTCTAATAGAATATGTAATTCGAGATCAAGCATAACAAAACAACCTAAATTTTGTCTCGATAAGAAGCAATAACTTTTCTTCGTGCATAATTTGTCTTGATTTGAAAAGTTAAAGTTCAACAATAATAGAAAAAAAAAATATTAAAAAATGTCTTCTAATAATATCAATGATTGTAATGCTTCTTTATTTCATTTTCGTATCAATTTTGATATAAAAAAGTGAACGATGATATGTATTGAAGAACAATGAAATGCTGATTTTTTTCTATAAATATTCCAATTAATAAAATCTAGTGTTACTTTCGAATCATAGAATAATTCATTTTATAGAACAAGGGTATCTTGACTTGTATTAATATATCTAAACTCGCCGACATGTATTTAACAAAATTATCAACAACAAACACTCTCATTCGTTTTCATGCGATAAAACCTATGGTCCAATTGTAATATGCCAGCTTTCGAATTGAAAAAATCATCTATATTTATCAATTTGAGCTCATCAATTCGAGAACTCACTCTAGACGTTATATATTTAGCTGTTGAGTATATTAGTGTCCGATTGTACTAGAGCTTCGTTAAAAAACTTCTTATTAAGTAATCAATTGCTGCTGGGTTTCGAGTTTCATTTACAGTGATTCTTTTTTTTCCGTTAAAAAATAATATCCTCACGAAAACAATCACTAAGACACTATCACAATGCCTCTTCCAGTGGCTAACTAAGTCTTTAGAACAATAAATCCTTCAATAATAAAAAGTAAATACACAGATGCTTCGAATAGTATAGGTTACATATACACATGCCATCCTTGTTTCAAAACATTTTACATTGATTTCAATATAAATTAAGTATTGACGAAAAATCATTCATTGAAATTTTATACAACTGTGTAATAACCTTCAAAGGACAATTATGAGTAAGTTAAAATTTATCCTTAATTATTTGAAATAAGTAAATCTCTTGAATAGATATATTACACATCCTTCTACCAATTGCAATATTGTTGATAAGCAAAACTTATTCTGTACCTATTGACACAACTGAATATTTGGACTTACCAACCGACGAGATTCCTATAGCAACGACAATAACAACAACAACAACAACGACAACTACAACAACTTTAGCTCCTGAAGTTGATCACGAATGGGAAGATCTTGTCTTGGGTGGACCTACAGTCGTCAATTATCTTGGCTTATTTATGGTACATGCATCACGAAAAGATCAAGTTTTAACACCATCTTCCGACTACACAATTAACTATATTCACAATGTTCAATCTTTACGTGCAACACTTATTCAAATATCATCAGCTATGCAAGCTGCTTTTCAAGTGGCACGTGAAGACCTTGTTCGTATTCAAAACAGTATGAATCAAATTCCAGAACATATCAAAGCAGGTCTTCTTTTGATCCAAACAGCACCAAAAGATCTTCTTAGTAAATTATTACCATACACATTGCGTAATGTTAAACGCGCTGCTAATGAAGGATCATCTGTTAGTAAACCAACACTTGAGCGCTTTGTTTCAGTGGGATTATTATTGGAAGAATTTGCCACATTGATTTCTTCTACATCATCAACATCAGCCGAAAATGCTGATTATTTGATAGAAGCAAATGCATATTCCGTTGATATGAAAATACAATGGGATCTTGTGGTAAAACTTTTCAAAAAATTCTCAGAACGTGCGGATTTTACTCAAACATCTATTAGTAATAGTTTTATAGAACCTGCTGATCAAGTACTAAACGCCAATAGCTTCAATTCTCAAAGTGACCGCTTGACCTTACTTCAAAAACTTATTTCAGCTACAATTGCTATTGATCAATCATCGCATTTGCTAGATATGATGGCACGCACATACAATGATGTATCAAATGATCACATGGAAGATCAGATCACTTCAAATAAAGCCTATCTTGGCCTCACAATAGAATCAGTACGAGCAACAAGTCAACGACAATTATGGCAAAATCTACTATCACAATCGGTAAAAGTTGCTCGACTTACACAAGAACGTCATAAACAATTTGCTGAAACAAGCCTAAGTCGACAAGCTGAATATGCTACTTATTTAGAAGGTGTTCTTAGTGCTTAAAGTAGAAAAAACTATCATGTATTGGAACGATGTATCCAATTTATTGAATAAAATTTCTTCGTGCTAATATTGAATCTATGAAAGATTGATAATAATATCCATTTTGTAGATATAATATAAAAAGATTTATTTAAGTTGCTAATTATTAAGAATGTGGAGTTTTTTAAGTAAGTATGGAGAGTATATTTTAGGCTGAAGTAATAAATTTCAACTTAGTTGCAATCATCTGGCTTATAGGCAATAATCAGTGGTTCATAACGGCTAGTTCAATGGCTCAAGAATTTTCCATGGATTCTATGATAAACTACGAAAGAGGTAATCTCTGTGTATTTGATCAGGGAAAAGGTTGTTAGTGCATGCCCTTTGAAGCTAAAATGTGAAGTCATATGTGTTCTTTAATATGGTTATATTAATACAAAATAAGTAAAGTGAAGAATCTCTAGCAAACTTTAATGATTTTTCAAGGATAATTGATTGCCAGACAAACGATCTGTCTTATTCATTTCTGCATTGCAAATAGAAATGTTTTCTTGTTTTTTGGTGCTTTGTTTTTTTGTCTTATTGATTTGTGCTCATTATTTTTCTTTTTCATATTCGGTTTTTGCAATTTCACATTATTATTATTATTCTAACTATTGATTTAACTGACAAATAAATCTGTTGTACATATCCATTATATCTACAGAAGATCTCCATGCACAATTTTGCATCTCGAAAAGTTCAAAAACACTGACATTGATTATATCTTAAAATAATAAGTTGATCAGTTCAGATTTTCTGTATGTTAATCCTTTAACGACTGCGGCAAAGCAATGTCTGCTTACCCATCATTCTTGATATTCTAGATATATTTTTCACCTACGCAAAAATAAAATAAAACTGCACTACTTAGAACGTTCGCAAACATGTTCGAGATATTCAGATATCTAGAAAGGCTTTGGAGTATTCTAGAAATTTCTAGAATAGTTTAAGCCTTGTCGCTAATGGCGTTTAGTACCTTTTCTCGTTGCTAAGAAACTCTGAGATAAAAGTCTGACGCATGTTGTCCTCGATGACTAAGATCTTTCATGGGGAGGAAGAAGACGTAAAACTCGAACCTAAAACATACACTCATTCTTTTCTTCGAAAATATATGCGAGTTCCACAAAATGTGAGAATAATTTCTACTGAACAGATCAATATTAACAGATATCATTTTTAGCATTGGTTACAAATAATACAGCTCAATATAAGGTTGATAATCAACATTTAATTGATGAATGGCAAGATTGGATTCTTGCTAATATTATTACTGTCAACTATTTGAATCGTTTAATGGTACTTGCTTCCAGACAAGATTTTGGTTTTTCAATACCAAATGGTTATTCTATTAAATATGTGCAAAATCCAGGATCTTTCCGTCAAACAGTCTCTCAATTAGCTACACAAATGCGTAGTGTTCTGACGGGTGCTCGTGAAGATTTGAATCGTGTACATACAGGTATGGACCGTGTACCTGATCATTTGAAAACAATGGTTTTATTGATGAAACAAGCACCATTTGATTTACTTTTAATGTTGTTTCCTGATTCATTTAATAATATAGAGAAATTAGTGAACGATAGTTTAGTGGTACTTAGAAAACCAGAAAAAAACTTTGCACAAGTACTAAATCTTGTTACTGAAATAGATCACTTATTAACTAATCCATCAACTGATCAAGTGATTTCTTTACAAGTATTTGATGTTAAAACTCAATGGACACATTTAACTGAACTCGTTACTGAATTAGCAAAACAAGCAGAACGAGCACGTGAAGGTTTTTTACTTCAATTCAATTGGATTTTACAAGAATTCATTCGACCTGATCTTCCATTTGCTGAAAGTCATCGTGATTTCATTATTTTATTACTTCTACCAAAAATAGTTGAAATTGATCAAACAACTGATCTTCTTGGTCTTATTACTAAAACTTATAGTGATATATCATTTCAATACACAGATGAACAGCTAGGTGGTTATGGACATTTACTTACTTTAACAAAAGAAGAAGATCGTAAACGATATTTAAAACAATTTCAATATGATTTAGTACCACAAGCTGTCCAAAGTGCACGACTTGCATTGGAACGGCATACAGAATTTCTTCAACGTGATGGGAATCGACGAGAAAACTATGAAAAGTTTTTAAGTGACACATCGTATGATGATCTAATAAGTCTAATCGGTTGAATAAAACAGAAACGAGACTACTGATTTTGTTTTGCTTTTTATTATCGATTTTGATAAAAAAAATTGTGTCGCGAAGACATCTATTTCCAATTATTGTTTTATCGGCGAAAAGAAAATCAAATAATCATTTTAGTACACCAATCATTCTGTCCTAGAGTATCAATGAGACTTAAGCTTTTAAATACTTCTTATTTTAATAGAAATTAAGTGTATTTCACATATTACTGAAAACCTTTGAATACATTACAATACTCTTGCGAGCAGAACGAATGAGTAAGCATCTAAATATTTTTCAAATTTATTGTTTTTACTTAGCGAATTAAATTGAATTTATCATCAGATATAGCTATCAAGGTTTTGATGTTCTCTCTTGTGTTATTTGACATAGTTAATTCAAATACAGCAGACAATAGTTTAGCAGATGAATCAATATTAAATATAACATCAAGTAAGAAAAACCTCTTTTCATTCAATGTTACTCTAGCTGAAAAACAATATATTTCATCATCTATAATATATATATATATACTTTATTTTAGGAATTCTTGTTAATCGAAATTCAATTGAAGGAAAAACTGCTGACCATGTTTTGGTTGAACAATGGCAAGATTATGTTTTAGCTAATGCAATTCTTGCTAATTATCTGAATATTTTAATCGTACAGGCGTCAAAATCAGATTTTTCTCTTCTAAAAGAATCTAATTGTACGACATATATAAAAAGTCCTAATTCTTTTCGTCAAACAATTTCTCAACTAAGTGACAATATTCGACTTATTCTTATAGATTTATATAAAGACTTAAATCGTATCCAAATTGGTCTAGAACGTTTTCCTATTCATTTAAAAACTATTTTTCTCCTAATTAAAAAAGGAAACAATGATTCTATTAGTACACATCTACCTAATCTACTTAAAAAAGGCGAAAATATAGTCAATGACAGTTTAATCATACTTAAAAATCCTAAAATAAAAATTGGACAAGTAAAAGATCTTATTATTGAATTAGATTCTTTAATAACGAAGGTAACATCTGATAATACTCTTACTTTACAAATAGAAGATGTTAAAACTCAATGGAATCTATTCAATGATTTATTTACTCAATTATCAATTCAAGCTGAACATGCTATCAATGATTTTCTTCTTCAATTCAATTGGATTTTAGAACAATTCATTCAACTTAATATTGATAAATATCGTGATTTAATAATTAATTTACTGCAATCCAAAGGTATCAAAATTGAACGTACAACTGATCTTCTCACAATAATATCTCAAACATATGTTGACATATCATTAGAATATACAAATGAAAAAATAACTAGTAATACACGTTTAATTCTTATAACAAATGAACAAGAACGAAAAGATATTATTAAACAATATCGATATGAATTACAGCCTATAGCAATTAAATTTGCACGACTTGCATTGAAAAGACATGATGAATTTCTTCAACGTACTCAAAATCGACAAAAAGATTATGAAAAATTTTTAAATGAAATGTCTCAAAATGATTTAAATCTTTTATTATCAATAAATTAAACATATTCAAATAAATCCTATTCACTAAATATTACTCTTCTATATTTCTTTCTTCTATTATTAACAGTAATAAATGAGCATAGACATACGAGATATTATTTCAAAGAAAATAAACAAACGAACATCATATCATTTACAATACTATCTGCATTTCTTTCATTTTTTTCTTTGAGAAATCAAACCATATGACTTCGTTTGTAATTATGTACATTCTGACAATGGTTCTGAGAGAATGTATAAAGAAAAAGAAAAGAGATAAATGCTCTCTGAAATGCGCAGATATCCACATAAAATATTAGTGATTCAAAACGAGTTTTATCATGCAATATCAAAGACTGACAGACAATGCATCAATAATAGTAACAGAAACTGGTGAAAGTCATCTATTGTCATCATCCTTAGATACAAATCCAAAAATTTGTCGTTTTCGAAAAATTATTTTTTTTCTTTTATTTATTCAATTAGTGAGTTTGCTGTTTTTCTTCGTTTTTTTTTCGAAATTGATCATAACACATCGGAATGATTAGGTTTTATGTACAATTTGTCTTATGGTTGATACTCGGCTTTTAATTAAAGATAATGATGATAATTATCGACAAGCTATACGTTCTCTAGGACTGATATTTTTATCTGTTGTCTATAATGGATGTGGTTTGATCGTTGTATATCGAAATCATCATTTGGGAATATATGTTGTACGAATTCTTTTTGTATTTATCTTAATATTAAACGTATTATTTCTATTTATAGTTTGCCTGGTTAGGTTATATAGAATATATATTTTTATGTGTAGAAATTTTTCTAAATATTGTCTTTATTGTAAAACATCCATCACATGATACACGAACGAAAACTGCCTTTTCTATTGGTCTAATTATTACAATCATATCTACATTTCAAGCTATATTAATGGTAAATTTTTATTTCGGTTTTATCTCATTGAATATTATAATAACGGATGATTCATAAATAATTGCACTGTTAGCTTTTTGAAAATGTCTCCTCTATTTTTCGCTTGATTGAAATACTTGTTATAATCACTAGATAGTGCGTGAAATTCTAAAACAAATTAGTCTACTTGATTTAACATCTACTGTCTCCTCTCTATTTCAGAATCAAACGTAATTGTATTTCTTAATAAATAAGCACCATTTCACCTTTGAGATATTAGCTTTTGCTCGAACTATATATATGGACGACTTGGATTGTGAAATAAATTGATAAAGTCAGTGTTGTTGAACATGTGTAGCCATGAGGCAATTGTTCGCTTTAGCATTACTCTATCTGGATCACGATGAATTTTTGCGGATTCATCACCACTTTCTTGTCTTTTCATCTATTTTCAAATGTATCATAAACATTTTTGGATTGTATCATATATGGTATTGTTGAGAATTTCAAGTGCTATCTTTTAATAAGAAGAGATGTTCCGATCAAGCAAAAAATAGCGAAGAAATTTTGAATATACATAGAACACAACTATTTATGAGTCAGTCATTATATTATTTTTCTTTTAGGTTATTACACTTAAACTTACATTTAAATTATTTCATTTAATTAAAATTTTTAAACGTGATGTTCTTGAACAAATCTAATATTTTTTTTTTTATTTTTTTTAATATTTGTATATTATTTGAATTCTTAATTAAATAAATATTATCTTAATATTTCAAAGAGAAAGCTACTAAAAATTCTTTTCATTACATTTATTAAAACAATAGCATAGAAATTATAAAAATCCAAAACTATTAAATTCAACTGTAAGAAAATTTTTATTGTTTATTTCGGATAGGAACAATTTTCTTGTTGTGTTTGCTTATATTCAATTTTAGCAGTATTCAAATCAAGTTCTTGTACAAGTTTCAAAATACTATTAACAATAGTCGTGTCTAATGTTGGTTTACGTGATAAAATGTGTACACAATAATTTGTTATACCAAATTGATGAATACAATCATATTCAACACTATAATCATCTGTTTTCAAAACAATAACGTTATAAGCTACAGGTGGTAGATCAGGTAAAAATGATGCATTATATCGACCATTTGAAGGATGTGTTGAACTAGTTAACGTCTGTTTCGAAACAATTAATTTACCATCAGGTGAATCTTTATTACAAATATTTGATATATTAACTACAGTAGGATCAACAATAGTAGGATTGACATCAATATGTGTACAGACACAACCTTTTTCAAAAAAGGCTCCGCCTGGTGTTTGTATTTTACCAATTTCAAACCATCGACCAGAATACTATCAAAATAAAAACAAATTAAAAATTTTTAATGAAAATAACAGAAACGTTAACTTTTTCAATAGTATAATTAGCAGCTAATGGTGGTATTCTGCATGATGGATCTGGCCATGAATAAACAAATCCAATAGAAATTATACTCAGTAAATAGAAAAGATGCATTCAGTGATATTATTTTCGACGAAATGAATTCGTAATAAAACAGAAATAGATAAGAACGACTCTCAACGAACTAGTTATTATATAACAAAGGTGACATTCAATTATACAACATACACATGGGTACTTTAAATTCTTGTTTTTTAGTTATGGACTGAGATGGGTTTCTCTTTATTTCTAAGAATACTTTGATTAATTGTATTAACAACTATGAATTATTCGATTTGAGAATAAAAGATAAATATCGTCTCACATGAAAAAGATATTATTACAGTTCGTAGTCATATAATGAATTTATCTCCTCGGCAACAATGTCAGTAAATTGAAGAAAAAGATACGCATTGATTACAGAAAAGAAGAATTTATAAAAAAAATTTAATTTGTAAGATGTCGACAAGTCGAAAATTGAGCAAAATTTTATTTTTGGAGTTTTTGTCATGGTTAGGTAGAAATCGTCGACTTACCTCAAAAAATTCTTTTTTTGATATATTCAAATGGTATTTTTGTAGAGAAAACTATGTTCAAAAAGAAAAATGAAAAAGCCTATAAAAACTGAAATACACTAAAAACATCAAGTCTCAGTAGTTTCAAAATTCATCCAAATTTCTTTTGATATTAATCGTCATATAGTCAGGAATAAATTGTTCGATTGCTGAGATAGTTGATATTGTCGACCTACTAGCAAAAAGTCATAAATAACAATCATATTCAGAATCAACAGAAAAATGTGCATTGAATAGGATACTCAATACTTAATACTAATTTTCGTCGAATTTTGACATTAGCTGGAGCACAGATCAGATTATTCAAAAATAACAGTGAGAGAGTTTACGATGTTTCTCTACTGATTCTGCATATGATATTCATTTCATTTCGAGCTGAAGTTCTGATGGTGAAAATCTTGGAATAGAAACCTGTTATTGATAGCATTTTACTAATATATGATGAGTAAAATTTTAAAAAATCGGATAGATTTTGAAACTATCGGGACTTTATTCTTTTGGTGTATTTCAATTTTTATTATCCTTCTCTAATTCTTTAGCCTAGTTTTCCTACAAAAATATCGTTTGAATATGTCAAAAACGATTTTGCTCAAATTTTGAGTTGTCAGCATGTTATAAACTTATCGAGAGTCCAAGAATAAATTTTAAAATATATTTGAGAATTTCAAAATCAACGTATCAAGATGAATATAGATAAGAGATGAGCGAAAGGTTCAAGACAAAATATTTGACTATTAAATTTTTTGCGTATTTAAATGCATTAGAATAGAGTAAGAAGTAGAGTATAAGAATCAGAATTTTCCAGTGACTTTTAACTACTGAACCATAGATAAATCTTGAAAAGACTGAAGAAAAAAATTTTGGAAAAGAAAATCTCAAATGGAACTTATAGCAGACATGCAACAAAGTTTTATCGAATATATTGAAAGATATAGAACAATTCTCTTTAAAACGGTAAATTTTTTGCGAACTATTAAGGTGTAATAAAGATTTTTATAATGTCTATCGTAAGAGAAAAGGGCTAGTTTTTTCTGATTTTCGGCTTGTCAGCGCAAAATGACCATCCATAACAAATCTTCCATTTTTTATCGGATTAATCAAAACTCTTTACTCTTGCATCATTTTGTAGAGACCATTCTCAATTATTATACACTTACCGAACTTATTTAATGTCTAAAAGAAAGAGACTTGTCTTCAGAAAAATAAAACTTGTTTTTGAAGTCCTGTCAAGATTTACTTATAACTCAATAAGCATATTTTCTGAAAGATCTAGAAATTCTGATTCTAATACACTACTTATGCATGTAAGTACGCGAAAAATAGTTCAAATATTTTGTCTTATATTTATCAATGAATCTTAATTCAATACTAAAAACAAATGAAAAAACAAACATCCAAATTCGTTTTTACTTGTAAAAATGATCTAAACGCGCCGTTACTATGTTTACTATAAATATTATTTCTATTAAATAAAAGTATAAAACAACCTTCAATGCCGTCATTAATTCCAATAGGAACATTCGTATTAGCCAAATGGCCATCAACATCTAATTATTATAAAGCTCGTATTATCGATTACACTGATGATAATAATTATGTTTGTCAATTTTTGGATGAAAGTGTTGTTGCTTTACCATCGAAATATGTTGATTTGCCGGAAAAATTCCAGCGTACAACAAAAAAGCTTTCTTTTATGCAAAATGAACAAATGTTTGTTGATCGTTCTTTAACATTTAATTCAATGATTATTTCTCTTGGTTGGATAGCTATATTTTTATATATCCAGCATAGTTTTTATCATAATCCTGATCTAGATGGATCACCTGGATCATCAAATCGTACTTTGTTTCAACAATATCCGATTGTTGTTGTTCAATATCTTCTACTATGGTTTATATTACAATTAATTTTTGCTCGATATTTTCCACATCTTGGTAAAGAACAACTTATTTATATTAAAGAATCTCATCCAAGTATTTATTATAAACATCGTTCAAATAGTTTCCTGGCTTTCATTATTACTTGTTTGATAATGTTTCTTTTTCGAGAGAAAATTCCTCTAAGAGAACTAACAAAATCGTATTATTTATTAGCTTTATTTAGTCTTGGTATTGCACTTACATTTAGTCTTATTTTATTAACTAATAAACTATTTTCTCGTTATTGTTCAATATCTATCAATGAGTGAGTATCCCATTTTACATATAATTTAAACATAATAATTTTACGATAGGATTGATCATAATCAAAAACAAACTCACTTTGATTTTCATTTATTTCTTTCAATTCGTCCAGGTATTATTCTTTGGCCAGCACTTAATCTTCTTCTATTTTTAACTATTCTCAAATATAATCGTCAAATATCGATACGTTTTGTACTTTCAATTCTTCTTCAAACTATCTATATTATTAATGTGTTTATTAACGAAACTTCAATGATACGTCAATCATTAGATATTTCACCTCCATCATCATTCGATGCAATTTTTACTAATCTCTGTTGGGTACCTTTCATGGCAACACTCACCTCTGTATGTCTGGTTTTTATTTAAGTCTTCTCACACACAGAATGAATTCGCATACAAGCATAGTAGTGCACAAGATTCGATAAATTGGAGTCGCGAGATTTTGTTGTGAGAAACTATCGAACTTTGGATGAGTTGAGAAAAAAATTTTTATACACTTCTACCAGGTGACGTCATTTTAGAAACTTATGCATAGTTCAGAAACCTAAGGAGATATATTTGAATTATTCTGAAAGAAGTTCTGAAATATCTCATTTTTCAGTTAAAGATTTGTCCATACTTCTGTCAACTTATCAAACACTTACGTGATTTATTTTTAGTCTATATGTAATCCTATAACTGAATGGTATTAAAGCGTGTCTATTTCCTATTCATCAATTCCTGAACACTCACGCTCTATCAATCAATAATTTTCATACGCGCATGCTTTCCGGCTCACGAAAGAAACTGCTTTGTTCATTAATAGACAACATGTAGAACAAACGAAATAAACAGTGAAAAGCAATAAACTATTCTATTTGATGATTTACATTACTATTTTGCGCTCGTTCAGATAGAGTGGATTTCTATTACATTTGAAACATCATAAACTTGAGACTAGACTTCTATTTTGTGGAAGGCTTATAGAATATTGTAAAATCTAACATTTTTATAAAATGAAAATTCAAAAAAGAAATGTCTTTTATTTTAGTTTTACATTGGAAGAAGTCATCGACCAGTTCATACATACAATCTTTTTCTGGCTGTTATACTCTTTATCTTTGGCTTCGTAGTACAACATCTTGCTATGCGTCAACGCACGTAAGTAAACTTTTTAAAATATTTTCTATCATTTTCTATTGATAAGATCTTTTCATTGACTTTTAGTGCGTTTCAAGCAATGAACAATACCAATCTAGTTGATTCTGTCATGGTAAATGATACTCAACGAATATTAACAAGTGGTTGTTGGCGATGGTGTCGTCATCCTCATTTGCTAGCTGAAATAATCATGGTCATCGGTTGGTCACTACCAGCTGGTACAAATCATTTAGCACCATGGCTTTATACATTCTATATTATCTGCATGGCTATATACAAAGCACATTATTTCGATCGAACACTTCAAAATACATGTACAGAAGGTGCTTATGAACATTATATTGCACATGTAAAATATACACTTATTCCATTTGTCTATTAAATAAAAATCTATTATATATATTAATTGAAACTATATAAAACAATTAAATAAAACTAGAGGCAAAAAAAAGGAAGACAATTTTTTTGAGATATAAATGAATGATATTGTTTTAATCATCTTCTTTTCCGCGTTTTATTAGCTTAGTAAATGCAGCATAATCGAGAAGACCTTTTGCATCAAGTGGTGCACCTTCAAGCATTTGATTGAACTATTAAAAGAAAAATCATTAGCAGATGGATTTGTTCTTTTTTTTTTGTTTTATTACCTCAACATTGGATAGTCTTTCATTTGGTTTTCCCATAGACGTTAGCTGCTCTTGAAGACTAAAAATAAATGAATTGTCTTATTAAAAAATAAAATGAACTTCAAAATGATTTACACGTCTCGATAAAGAAAACCCCTTGTGTCTTCATCGAACGTTTTAAAAGCAGTCATTAAAATGTCTTCAGCATCAGTACCTAAAATACAAATGAAAAGAAAGTGATCTTTAACTAAACCATTTTCTTTTTTTCAAACCATTGAGTCGATCACCAAAAAGTGTTAATAATTTTGTAAAATTCACCGGTCCACCAGTTTCTTCCAGCATTTGTTTAAGATCAGATTCTTTTGGTGCTTTACCTAAAGATGAATAAACTTCTTTAAGATCATCCAATGAAATAGATCCATCTCGGTCTTGATCCATTAAACCAAATGCTTCTTTAAATTCTTGTACTTGTTTTTGTTCAAACATAGTAAAAACATTACTACTAGCTCGTTGAGCAGCTTTTTTTGCTCTTTTCTGAAAAATTCAATGTATTATATAATATATATATATGTGTATATACATGGTAATAAGACTTACATCAGCCATCCGATGTGAATATTGTTCTATATCAGGGAGATGAGTGTTATTCTCCTAATCTATATTGTGACTATTTGGTATAAGGAAAAAAGAAGTAAGAATAATATATATAATAAGAAAAGAAAAAACCTTGGGTGCATTTTGCGATGAAAAAGATCACTATATCGTCAGCGCCAATGTTGATTTTCGACATGGTGGCGCATAGATGATACAAAAAAGGAAAGAAAAAGAATCAGGGAAAAGGTGACTGACAGACTGATTGTTCTATCTTTTTATGGTGATCATACGTATCCTGTAGAGAAAATTATCTCTCTCTTCCTACATCAATTGTACATGATCGTCAAACATCTGCCTTTATCTAACCGGCAAGTAGTATAATATAGAAACAAAAAAGAAAGCTAACGAGAATATTACCATTTGAAGAGAAAAATTATTCTACTTAACAACATGTCACTTCATCAACAAAAAGGTTGATTCATTCATTAAGATAAGCCATTGTACGTTTTATTTTATATATATATACAAAATCACAGTTATAAATCAAACTTTAGTATTTAAAGCATTCACAATAAAATAAACGAAAGATTTGATTTAGTGTCTTATATGAAAATAAAAAATATACTTGATATCCAATGCAGTGGTGAATTTTGCAAGGGACAATCGCGATTTCTTTCCGAACTATTTTTCGATTTTTTTTTCAGCGGAAGAAGCTCAACAAATAGCTAGTGGCGATGCTATACGAGAGGCAGGAGGTGGCTGAGTTCCACCACCTTCGGAAAAATTTAAAAAGTTGTTGTTATCGAGGGTCCTACAATAGGACGAAAGGAGGGCTTAACTCTTCTTGGCCAAAAAAACTTGGCGTCCCTGCTAAAATGAACCAATACGATCTTTCACTTGACTTGAAAACACGGTTTATGACTAGAACCACCTCCATTTACTAAAATTCTAGACCCATCACTGATCCAATGAGTGATTTCCATAATATCAGGTGTTATATACATATTTGTTCTTATAAAAGACGAAAAAAAAGGAGATTTCCTCGTTCATTCAATTGTATTAAAATAGCAAAATAGTAATTTCATTTAATACTCATATATTTTTATGTGCAACAGTTTTCACTACATAAGTATTACACTCATCTTAAGCACAGCCACTGACCAAGCAAGGATAATCCTATTCTTTCATTCTGAAAATATATCAATGTTTCTTCGTAAAATATTCATGATTCCATACTTTGTATAGATGCTTTGTCAAAGTAATAGAGATTTCGTCATTGACTATCCAGAATACATTCTATTAATAACTTTATAAAGAATCAAAACTGAAAACAATAACTAGAAAAAAACTTGTAAAAATCGCGATTTACAGCTTTTCCATTACGGAAATTTAAATAATCTAACTGTAATCAGCCGTGAATCAATAATTATAAATCAAAATCAGTTTCATCCTATAACTCGTTAGCATTGAACTAGGAATTATTCTGTATTCCTGATAAACACGACTCTCTCGTCGTGTAGTACACCAATTCTGTCACATTTTTTGTTTTCAATAATGTCTTTGAAATATGGTTTATATTAATACATTAGTAGTAACTATCAAAGTACAGTATTTTTTCGTTCTAACATGCATCGCAAAATTTCATGCATGCAATTGACAAAAAAGAGGAAGTAACCAAAATAAGCATACACTGCATTTTTTTATGTAGTGTGTAAAAATAGGTTGTGCGTAGTCGTCGCCTCATGCAAGCTGATATGTGTTTCTCTTTTCTCTATTCTTGATTATGTGATCAGATTCTTTGACATTTGTCCACGCTAGAAAATTTAATACTGCATTTAGGCATCTTATTGGTCAAAAATTTTAATTCACATTTAATACACTATCGAGAGGCGGATTAATTTTAATGCACCAATCAACTGGACATTATCCACACAAATGAAAACGATACAATGTGCTTCATAAACGCACGTGAAATAAAGAATGATAGGCGTATGACTCTTCTCTAATTATTCTCAATCCCGGTGAATGAGATACGGCCTATTCCAGTACGAAAATGATATAGGAACTTGGAAGCAGGAATTCGATGATTTTTCTACTGGTTTCTTCATAAAATCATTTACCTCAGAGATAAAAAGAAAATGTTTTCTTTTGCAAAAGTGTGCTGTATTTATGCACTTTGACTACATTATAGTGGCACAATCTGCCTTTTTATTGGTGCATTGACCATTGGGTGTAGACATAAGGCATTTGTCTCGTATTTTCATGTATGTATAGATAAAATAAAATAATTCGTCATATAAACATTCTCCAATTAATTGTTTAATAATTTTTTCTAACCAATAAAGACAGTACAATAAAAAACAGTGATATTACCTGATTGATATCTTAGCTGATGTCATTGGATGATCTCTGCAATCGTTACGAGCGTGATGGTTTTGTTATTATTCCTGATTTAATTGATGGCGATGAATGCGATCAACTTAAGATTGAAGCTGAGAAAATTTTGAAAGAAAAAGCACATCCTGATGCATCTGTTTATGTGCATGCATCAGTCGCAAGTCCACTCTATACACAATATCATAAGGATCCTCGTCTCGTGGACATTTTGAAGAAGATCATGCCGAATGGTGTTATGTTTTTAAGCGACAAGATCGTTGTTAAAACAACTGAGAAAACATTTGCGACACCTTGGCACATTGATTGCTTCTATTGGCCTAATACACGTCCGAAACTTTCGGTTTGGATTCCTTTACATGATGTAAATGCCGACAATGGTACACTTACTGTAGTTCGTGGTAGTCACAAAAAGGATTGGACAATGATAAACAAAGGTTTACCAAATGGTGAATTTCTCTATCAAATAGCCGACGATGATATCAATAAGGATGATGTAGTTACATGCATAGTCAAACGTGGTAGTGCAATCTTCTTTTCCGATAGACTTGTGCATGGTTCAACACCGAATCTCGCGCGTAAAGACCGTTACACAATAATAAGCACTTATCATGCACCTGCAGATGATGAAAAATTTGATCTTGATTTTTCTGCACGTGAAGTACTTGTTCCCAATTACCCAAAACTTATTAACCATCAAATCTAGTGTGTTATATGGGAGTGATTTACAAAATATTTTAATTAAAAACGTATATATTCTTTAAATAAATGTTAATTATTAGTAGCAAAATATCATGCTCTTGACCAACTGAAAAGTTGCTTGAAAACAGTTTGTATTTTAGAAATATTTTAATGATATCGAATCTATTACAAAGATTTCACTAAATACCAATGTATTCACATTAGAATTGCCATCTCCTCAATTCAGAAAAGCGAAAATAATGCGGAAATTTCTTTTTTTTTGTAGACTCTTCTCATTTCTATAGGTTTATATAACTTGTTGTTTCTTTTCATAGCACTTCTCCATTCTCAAAGTTTTAGAACATAATAAATAGACCTTTATTTATTAAGTACGTCATTATTTAAATGTAGCTACATTTACGGTTTCAATGATTTTCGATTAACAATTGATTTTGCGAAAATAGATATTTGTGCATGTTCGTGCGACAATGAAGTAGTACAACGAATGGATATTTCTACAAATATTGAATCTAGTGAAACTTTTTCAATAAAGAAATAAACCAAAATTTCTCATATGAAAAAGTAAAAGATGTGGCAATCCTGATTCTTACTTGCATTCCGTCAATGAGAAGATCGTCTTTTCTTGAAGGTCTGTCTTATCCAAAAATAAATTCACTTAACCAAAACTAGACGAAATATCAGTTCAAGTGACGCATAGATATATATGTATCATATATTTCATCGAAAACAAAATATCTATTATATTTTATTAATATCAGTAACGAATACGTGTATACCTTATTTTCATAAGCAAAGTATATTAAAATGTACCATAACGAAGTTTTATAAAGAATATATTGACAAAATATGATGAATGAAACAGAGAACGTCACAGGACGATATTTTCATTTCTCTTTATTACTAGGATAATAAACTTGTCTGTATATGAAATATGATGTCAAATATCATAGCTCCTCTATTGACACAAGAATTATATTAGTAAATCTTGTCACATGCTTTCTGGCAGACATGAAATGAAAAATGAAAAAGAAAGTTGACATCCATAAGATGACGAAGTTTTCTTTTTATTAGTTTTTCCTGAATTTCTCGTATGAACGAATAAACATATTATCATTTTGATTTAGTGATAAATCTGTTCGTCTTTGTGTAAATATCAATCCAGATGAGTTAAATACGCCTTTCGCCAGAGCACTTGTCGCTGGTATGGAATCTACTCTTCTGGCAACTATTGGTAAAAATGGAAAATCACAACAGCATCAGAGTTCTATTGAAGGACGATCAGTTAGCTGATTCGAGTGCTCTGCGATGTTCTCTGTAGTGAAAAAAATATTGTTCTTTTCTCTACCATAGAAACCAAAGAAAGATTGAAGAACAAAAGAAAAAATCATCTTGGAAACAATGTATTGTCAGTTATTATTCATAAAAGTGTACTGCTTACATTCTGTTGTTCTGTGCAAAATGTAAAGCAATATCTATATCCAACGTCAGTATCAGATGTTCGATACATCTGCCATCACAAATACTATGTATAAGATGGCTTTGTTTGATCAATGCTCACTTTTTAAATAAACTCTTGTGTTGTGTTGAGCAGAGAAGAACATTGTGCGCCATCTATATTTATATTTTCTACAAATAGTCTAAAACAAAATCTTTTTTATTTTAATTCAAGATTTTCTTTTAAGAAATTGTCTTTTCGAAATTATTTTCATCTTGTATTTAAATCGCCATCGTAAAGGCCTAATCACCATCTGTCAATATGTCTTCGATAGACAACGAGAACAAAGGACATAAACATTGTATTCTGTGCCATTGGCATTGCCATTAAATAACCGATCTATCTTCTTGATTTGCACGGTGAATTTCTAACACCGTAAGCATGTTCTATACGCATGCAATTTTAACTAAACGTGGTCCATTAGCTCGTCTTTGGCTTGCTGCACATTGGGATAAAAAATTAACTAAAGCTCAAATATTTGAAACCGATATTCGTCTTAGTTGCGAATCAATTCTTGAACCATGTTTGAAATTAGCATTACGTACAAAAGGTCATTTATTACTTGGTGTTGTACGTATATATTCTCGTAAAACAAAATATTTATTAGCCGATTGTAATGAAGCATTTATTAAAATTAAAATGGCTTTTCGACCTGGTATTGTTGGACTTGATGGATCAACTAATCATCATGTTGGTCAAGATTCGGATACACGTGAAGTTTCAATTGCTGCTATAACATTACCGGAAAATTTTCATGATTTTGATTTAATTGATCTTAATATTGAGTAAGTTTATTTATAAAGAAAAGCAAGAAAAAAAAGAATTTAATTTTATATTTAGTTATATTGATGATCCATCTCGATTCCAAATGCATCAAGCACGCGCAGAAGAAATTACACTTAAAGAAGATTTTATTAGTGTACCTATGCCACTTGATGATGATTTTGGTAAGAAAAAAAAAACATCTATAAATGTTTTTAAAATATTTAATTTTTATTGTTCTTAGGTGATGCAAATGGTCTTGATGAACCTGAATTCTTTCGAAAACTTCAACCATCACTTCATTTTAATGCACAAAATTCGAATATGGATATTGATAGTATGAAAAGAAATTATTTTTAATTTATTAATCTAATTTAATTAAACTAGATACAATTATTCGTAAAGATCACAATATAAGTCGTGCACTTGGTGATGATCCATTTGCATTAGATGGTTTTGGCGATTGTATGTAGTTTTAATTTTTTCAAGATTATTAAAAATTCCACTTTTTTTGTTTGCAGTTGCCGCTCCAGCTTCAGTTATTGGTATTGGTGGTGATAATTCAAATCTTTCAAATGAAAGAGATCAATATGATCATGTTATGTCACCATTCCATCGTAAATATTTTTACTTATAAATAATTTATCACAAAAAGAAATGTTTTTTTTTCTTCTAGAAGATGAAAATGCACCAGGTTTACCAACACTTGATGATCATCAAGCACCCGCTAATGAACAAATTCAAGATAATAATATCGATATGGACGCAGCACATATTCCAGGTGCTGATGATACAACACTTTTATCAAATGTTTCCGATGAATTTGTTTTACCACCTATTTCAGCTGCAGGTAAATGACAAACAATATTTTATTTTTAACATAATTTTCTGAAGCACGAGTATTGAAGTATATCAGGTGGAAATTTGCACCTACCCACATATCTTTAAAGACGCTAGTCAGTAGATCCAGTCGTATTGGTCCCAGATCCGAAAACTTTGAATCTGTAGGTTGCACTAATTACCGGAGCGACTATTATATTCCGATTAGAAAATTGCATCGAAAGTATGAAAATACGGTTCGACCAGTTCCGAAAATTTTGGACCTCAACGAGATCTAGTCAGAGGTCGTGACAGACATTGTTGATATATGATCAATAACGGCTCGTTACAATATATGAAATAGTTCCTTATTGTATTTCTGAAGGAATAAGTAAAAGGATGGTGAAAATGTGTGTCTTTAGATAGACACAATTAAAGAATATTTTTGTGATAAAGCCACAACAGCTATATCGTGTTTGAAATTTAATTGCACTAACAGGTTTTGTTATTTTTATTTTAAGCACAAACACCAGCGGCTCGACAGGCAGTTAAACGTAAACGAAAATTAGTTATTGATGAAGTCAAAGAAATTGATAGTGGATCAATGAAAACACAATTAAGTGACACAACAGATATTGTTGGTGTACTTGAATTAGCGCCACCAACACGTCGTTTAATGCATTTGAAAGAAACGGGTGGTATTGAAAAATTATTTTCATTTAGTGCTACATCAATTTTTTCGAAAACATTACAACAAGTAAAATACGAAACAATCGATTCAATAAAGTAATAATGAATAATAATTTCTGTTTTAGTTAATAACACGTAATATGGTAACCAAACCATTAGATCAAATGCCACCGGATAATTATCAAATTCAACATGATCTTGCCATGGAACAACTAGAACGTGAAAAAGATGATTCATCAATTGAACAAATGCGTGCTACACATCATCATTATCTTGAAGTCTTAGGTCATGATCCATCATTAATAGGTGCTGGTGGTTTATCACCTAATCGTTCGAAAAAACGTGGTTTATCACCTGGTATTGATGATGATAATGTTGATAAACGTCAACGTTCAGATTCATTATTTTTACCACCAATGACAACATCAATGGATAATCTTATGGATGTTATACCAGGACCAATGTCACCAACACGTAAAAGTGGACGAAAAGTACATGAACTTAACCAATTACCACCATCACCATCACGTACATCAGGTAATATGAGACGTAAAAAAGGTATGGGACATTTAACAAAAGAAAATCAAGAAGAACAAGATGATGAAGATGAAGAACATGGGCAAACAACAACAGCTCAAGAAGTAAATTTTAATTAATCAAATTTTAATATGTACAATTTTCGTTTTGCTTTTTTTTTTTAATAGGATTTTGAATCAGGTAAAAAATTAAATCGTCGTGCTAAAATAATGCTTAATGCATTTGAACGTGCGTTTGATACTGCTGATGCACTTTCATTTCATGATCATTTATCATCGGGTAATCCAAATTATCATACAAGAAAATTAACAGCACAAAAATTTTATACATTATTGGTACTTAAAAAACTTCAAGCTATTGATGTTGAACAAACAGAAGCATTTGGAGATATTGCTGTTACACCTGGTGTTAATTTTCATCAATATATAACAAGTGGTGGTAGATAAAAATCTATAGGAATTTAATTCAATAAATCGGTGTTGTCAGATGTATATCTATGTATTGTCAATGGTTTAAATAATTAGTTCTTCTATGTATGTGGTTTTTCTTTTCTTTCCGTTCGAGTATTTTTCGATGTTTCTCTTTCTCTCAATGTGTGCATGTACATTGTACATATTTATTTCAATGTATTGTGTGATGACTTTTCTTTTGTTTGTGAGAATATACTCATGTTTTTTTTCCTTCTTTCTGTTTGTCTTTAA